CAGTAGATCTGTCTAATGGCCGTTCTACGAAATATGGATATATGACTTTCAAGTGATCACTAACTTATATCAAATCATCACCAGCCATCACTAGTTTTCTGCCGTCAATGAGGATGCATGTGAAGTTATTCAATTCGATGTTTAGTTCTGATTAAGTAATACCATATTTTGCTGAGGGCGAGTGTCCAATCATTGAGATGCAAACCCTAATTCTGCACATTGCCTCTGCGTGGGACACTTTCGCTTGAACTGCTTTATTTCAACGTACTGATGAACACTTTACTTTAAACACGAAACGAGAACAGTAGAAGTATCACTGCGATTCATTATGGTTAACACTTTACTGAATAGTGTGGCTTGTGCTTGTCCAGATAATATCCGGTAACTCTGTAGACTTTACCAATATATTCTTGAGGTACTTCAATTAGATCTACCACCGTACACTCCTAAAAAGTGGCATTCACTTGAATGATAATCAATAATAACCATAATAATTAAAACTGTCATCATACAAATTAAAAAAAGCTCACATCAGCATAAAAGATAAGATCATACAAAAAAATCATACAAAAATTAAGATCATACAAAAAACATGAAGACCTTGCAAAAAACTAAGCAAAATAAAAGTTTAAAAAAACACGAGAAACTAAGCATGGTCAGCGAAAATAAGAGCGACCATAAAAATACCAGTTGGCCTAGCATAAAAATGATGTTTCGTTTCGTGGAATCGATATAACTGATGGTTATGTTGAGCAACATGCAAACAATTTATTCATGATACACTCCTCTCGCACTCAAAATCTATTAATTCGCAGCTGATTTTCGCTGAATCAAAGACACTATATGAAATAATGCAACCAGAAAATGACGCAAGAATTCATTCGAAACAAACATTTCGGATTTTTCCGGTATAACAGTGATGCGTTATCATCAAATACGGCTCGATTCGACCAATCTCGCATTCTTCACCAACAAGTATCACATTACCATTAGCGCTTGTTTTTTCTGCACTCAGAACATCGTCCGGATCGACTGCAGTTCATTATGTGAAGAAATTTATTGAAATGCTCAAATGATCAAACAATGACCACATTTCAAATACTAAATCAATCACTTATNGTTAGTTCCCCTTCGGAGCATCAAACGCTAATCAACGCTCTAAGTTTTGCTCATAAAACTCAGCAGATCGTTTTTTTTTTCTGTTCGATATTGAAATTTTAGTGCGTGTGATAGTGCGACGATTTGAGTGGTTTGGTGAAATGATGAGAATGACTTGATTATTGCTTTGAAAAATACTCGAACTTATCAAAGAAATTGAATTTTGAAGGAAAAGAGATGACATGCAATGCGGTGCATTCATTTTTAGCGTGAAACATTGCTACACTATTGCCGAAATGTTGCCTGAACATTTTTTGTAAATCCTTCTGATGTAATTCACATGCCAACATGCTCACAAAGAATTGTTAACACTTAGTTGATAGCATCGTCAAATGTTCTACCGGGATTCCGATCCATCGTATTGGGATTAGAATTTGATCAGTTCCGATCAATTGTATTAAAATTCATAAGTGATGAAAACTGTGTAGGTGATGAAAAACAATCATTATGAATGCAACGAACATAGGTCATGTTCTAGCAATTCAACTAGTGCATTTGCAACCGCTTGATTAGCGCACAGGAAAGTCGCATCAACTGTGACATTTGCAGGTGTACAGAAGAAGCCATTCACAACGGCCAGCACACTGACAATGAGCGTTATCACCACCTTTAAAAGCATGTTTGGAATCCTGCAATTGAGAACACATTCATTCACCTCTTCAAATAAACAAGGAAATCACTCGACGCATATTCAACAATTGCTATTGTAGAAGTGATCGGGAACGATTGGGTATTCAGCATGCTCAGTTTTGCGGTAGTTTAAAACTACAAAATGGCGTAAAAATTCATTCGAAACAAACATTTTGGATAATTCCATCATAACACTAATGTATTATTTTGAGTATCTTGCCAGATCAATGATCAAAATCAGATCTCAGGCGAACTTGATGTTTAGCGAATGACGTACACTCTTTGACGAAATGATCGTTTGATACGTTTGAAGGTGAATTTAAGGCACCTTTGAGCGTATGAATTGCCTGAAATGCTGCTGGCACTGGCTTATTTCCGTAGTGTTTCATTCAAGTGAATCTCAGATGTCGAATTTTCATCAACAAATTCAAATTGTTGAGTCATTTCATTGCTCTGAACACGCAATATTTCTCATGGAATGCTTATGGAAACTGTTCACTTTTCCGTGTGTGATTGAATTGTTAAGCCAAAACAATCGACGTGTCCATTTGCACTACGCACATCACCGTTAAAGTCTGCATTCTTCTCGTCATCTTGAGGGCAATCCACGCATTAAGACCACATTCTCAAAACGTGCTCACTTCCAGCAACGCAATTGATAACAACAGAAACCCGTAGTGATCGTTGCTGCTCGCATTCTATCACTAACTCTAAGCACCATACGAAATTTTGGCAGTTGAAGAGGCATCAAGATGCGTCCAGATTTCCGCATGAAGTCACATGAAGATGAACTCTTAAGTGCAATTCACCCTGGTCGTAAACGATTGCCGCGTAGTCTGCATTGTATCAAGTTGGCAATTCGTTGAAATAAAAATCTATCAATGTTGGATCCGCTCAAGGGAACTGAAGTGCAATCGAAGAGAAGAGTGGAAAAAACTCATATCAATACAGTAATCACTATCATCAATTGCTTACGATCAGTCAAAAAAAGTCATATTATTTTTAGCATAATGAGTCCATTCGATTTGCATACGTACTCCTAGTCGTTCGTAACTTTGAAAGGGAATNAATTGTTCAAATACTGTGTGCTTTTTGCGAACAACTCGAACCAAACAAATTTATCAGTGTTATTAGGATGCTCGAAAACATCTCGAGTTTAGCAGCGATGAAAAGCTAATTGTGCATATGTAAACACAATGCGGAAACAGTCTGAGTGAGCATTCGTCTAAGTTTCGACGGATTTCCGTCAACAATTGCGTGTTTGTGTGATTGAATGTACTGTGCTGCTGCACGTTGAATGAATTTTTTTGTTTATTTGCTCGCATTTCCGCAATATAGAGAATTTTTTGCAAAATTATCACATTCTACCGGTCGTATGTTTTCTGAGAATAGGAGATGATTGTGGAATGCGACAATTTCACTTTCTCTCTTCTCATTAGTATTTTTTTCATTCCAATCAGATGCATGTTCGGATGCTCATTAGGTGCATAAAGTGAATGCATCACTCAGGAGTGTTCATTGCTTGCCTCATTAAGCAGAAATTTATTCGCAAAATAATCGTACATTATTATATTTTCATCGGTTTTCGTTCGTTTCACAGCAAAAAATTTCCCATCTTCAGATTTGCAGACAGCGTCGTCGAGTACACTGTTTCAGTTCCAGTTTCAGCACTCGACGAATTGCTATTGATATCATTCGTGTAAACTTCCGTTTTCGCTTGGTACTTACTGTGTTTATGAATTCATATTCGCAATCGCAGACGAATAATTGTAGTAGCAAATACATGAAGATATTCAACGTTAAGTTTGTCGAAGTGCAGTTGCGTCACTACAATCCTGTTTCCTCGTAAGCGATTAATGAACAAGCAGTTTTTCTGAGCAATCGTATTCGAAAGTCCAATCCGAAGGTTTTTAGACGCCATCAACTGAAATAACAAATCAAATCGAATCAGTCAGTTCCTTCTCACGAATCAATCCAAAATTTCAGAACGTGAAGACTGCATCCTGATTAACCACGAGAATTGGTGACGCCTGGGCAGATGAGGGGAATTTTGCAACGATCAAATCAAATTGTGAATGCTCGAATGAATCAGAGAGCGGCAAAAAAAAGCCAGTTTTAACGAATAAAGATCGCGAGAAAGGAATGACGCATAAGCATGCAGCAGTTTTTGTGTTCAATGAATTTTTGACATTGCATTCAAATTCGTCAAATAGCGAACACAAATATTCATTCAATTCGATTATGCCAGAACAATACCGAACAGGTGCATGCCACCAGACAATGCAAAAACACGGCATCCAGGGAATGTGCCATCAAGAAGCTGTAATGAATCGAAATGTTGCCACATAGCTCGTATAAACTTTCAAAGAAAAGATTTATTTCGGTCAAAGTGCTTATGAACTTATAAGGCACCCAATAAAATCGCTATCAAACGTAAGAAGATGTATGAGAAGAGACTCTTCGAACTTTATTTTTTGCTGTTCTTCAAATTCATAAATTTTTGTATGATTATCTCCTCAGTTGTTCAAAACTATCCAGCAACTGAACCGACTGAGTTGTTCGCAGATTCTCACTGCTGACTTCTTTCTTAAGTGACCTGCATGGATAGCGTTCGCCGAAACCGAAAAAAAAAACTGTGAGCGCTCCAGTTGATTGCAGACAGTCACGGAACGCGTGCTGGTAGTGAAACGAACATTGCCAACAGTACTTTGAGAGTTTTCACTTTGTTGAAAGCAAAGATCTTTGATTATTCACACAAAATGAAGTATTTGTGTGCTTCACAGACATCAAAATTACTCATGCAAACTGAACAAAATAAGGAATTCTCTCTATTGTGTTCAACCGTCGTTTGGTTTTGATGCGACACAAATTGATTCATCATCGCATGATACAAAGTAAAATCATATGATTTATCACATTAATTTTGAACGAAAATCTTTTTTAATTTCAAAATGTTCAATTGTTCAAGCAGGTAATTTTCAGTTTCAATAGTATCCTTCATGAAGCAGTTGGTTTGATCAAGAAACAGGCTGCGGTTCCTGTAGTTGTTGTTTTTTTTTTGGCTGAATGCGTTGCCCACTTACCGTCTCTCTATGTTATCACCAAATAACTGAAAAGTGCAATTACTGATTAAATTGTCCTATTGGTTTCTAATTCTAAAGAGAAAGCGATGGTGAAGTGACGATATCACGGAAGCATTGCCATTTCGTGTCATCAACCTTTATTCACACTTCAGTTGAAATGATAAAGAGTTGCGTGTTCTATCTACATTAGTTCACACTTACACGAAAGCAGTGATGAGCGAATTCATACAACGTTCATAAATCTTTGAGAGAAACTCTGCAGAAAATTTGTTCATTTTCGGTTAAATTTAGAAAAGAGTGGTGTTTTTTGGTTTTTAAGTATATTCTTCGTTAAAGGCAGCAGCAGCATTCATAGGACATGAATACAAAACGATGATTCAAGAACGTCGAACAAAATATCTGATCTAATTGTGTTGCACAGAACTCGAAATTCTTCGATATCAATAACGCACCTCAAACTATTTATGTTATGCTTGTTATTTCTCACAATTCATGACAACGCATTTAGATTCTCATTGAGCAAACGATAATGTTCTATCAGAAAGTGTTTTTGATTATTCTCCTGATATTGCAGTTATTTTTAGGTCAGGTTCGCCAAATTAGTCACCATATAAGGATCGGAAATTGTGAACCGAGCAGAGTCCCCCAACTATAAGACGTATTCATTGGTAATTTAAGTGTTGATGCTTGTTCTTCTTTTGCATTCGCTGGACTTACTTCATTTCAAATGTCAGAATGATCTCATGGCTTAATCAAGTTAATGGATCACGAGAGAATGCCTTAAGCTCATTTCGCATTCAGGTTCAACCTCTGAAATGTCACAGAAACCCATTCGATCAAGTTTTCATTCAGTTGTCAAATCTTATCAACGATGAATTCGGCTGAAGCTGAATGTTCAATATCCTTGCAGTTGCATTTTCATTTAAGAAAAATGTCGACCGTCTTCTGATATTTAGTTGATTAAATTAGATTCCTCTGAAGCAGAAAAGAACATTTCAGAAATGTCGTATTCAGGTTCTTCGAATACTATTCAAATGCCATTCACTTGAATGAACCAGTTCTAATCTCTAGAATGAAAATATAAATGAATATCCTAATGAGTCTGGCGACGATTTCTTGGATTCGTCTGTCTTCTTACGTCACACATTCCTTGTGCATTTACGTTTTTCAACAAAAACTCTGCACTTGTTATCCACAAAGTATGTCTTCCTGCTATAGTTTATCTATCAAATGCAATCGTTTTGCAGTTGCCCGAATTGTAATTTGAGCTGAAATTAGTGACGATTATCTGCAGTTAATTAGTTTATTACCGTGGATTGTTTCTGAGAATATACGCGAAAGTAAATGAACACAAATTTGCAACGAAGTTCCATGGAGACGCTAATTACGACGATTATTTTGTTGAAATATTCTGAATTATTAGACGATATTGAATTATGCATATTATGTCTAGCGATGGAGTGAATCAACAACATACGTATATATATGTAGTCTATGTACAAATATCCAACTAATTGCTGCTGCAATGCACTTGAATCAGTCCCAATTGGAAGTGTAATCAAACAAATGAAGAATCTTCGGTGCATGCCTGATCACGTTGAACGTTTCCAGCAAATGCATCACGTTGAAATTCCGCTTTCATCAAAACATACTTAAAAGGCCGAATATTACTTTGATACTCTAGTAAATTCATCCACTTACAAACATTTCATTCAATATTTCGTGAGAATCAGATTGAGTTGCCCAATCCGCTCGAACTAAAGATGAAGATGTTTTTAGTGATCTGCCTTCGATCCTACATGTGAATAGACAACCACTAGGACCAGAAAACATCACACCGCGTTGAGAAACGACCGAATTCGCACGTGAACAGCATCAGATATATATTTGCAGACGAGTAGTTGCA